TGGTCGTGTTGGATTGCAGTGTGCAGAAAAGAAGTCTCTGACCGCCGGTGGGAGGCAGCGCAGCAGCGCACGTAGCGCCGCGCCCGCGCAATCCACGTCGCGCCCCTCCTTCCCGGCACTCATCTGCAGAAGTAGTCTCTGGCAGCCGGCGGGAGCGGCGCGGCACCGCGCACTCACCTGCAGAAGAAGTCCCTGGCGGCCGGCGGAAGCGGCACGGCACCGCGCACTCACCTGCAGAAGAAGTCCCTGGCGGCCGGCGGGAGCGGCGCGGCACCGCGTACTCACCTGCAGAAGGAGTCCCTGGCAGCCGGCGGGAGCGGCGCGGCACCGCGTACTCACCTGCAGAAGAAGTCCCTGGCAGCCGGCGGGAGCGGCGCGGCACCGCCTACTCACCTGCAGAAGGAGTCCCTGGCAGCCGGCGGGAGCGGCGCGGCACCGCGTACTCACCTGCAGATGAAGTCCCTGGCGGCCGGCGGGAGCGGCGCGGCGCCGCGTACTCACCTGGAGAAGTCCCTGGCGGCCGGCGGGAGCGGCGCGGCGCCGCGCACTCACCTTCAGAAGAAGTCCCTGGAGGCCGGCGGGAACGGCGCGGCGCCGCGTACTCACCTGCAGAAGAAGTCCCTGGCGGCCGGCGGGGGCGGCGCGGCGCCGCGTACTCACCTGGAGAAGTCCCTGGCAGCCGGCGGGAGCGGCGCGGCACCGCGTACTCACCTTCAGAAGAAGTCCCTGGCGGCCGGCGGGAACGGCGCGGCAGCGCGTACTCACCTGCAGAAGAAGTCCCTGGCGGCCGGCGGGAGCGGCGCGGCACCGCGTACTCACCTGCAGAAGAAGTCCCTGGCGGCAGGCGGGAGCGACGCGGCACCGCGTACTCACCTGCAGAAGAAGTCCCTGGCGGCCGGCGGGAGCGGCGCGGCACCGCGTACTCACCTGCAGAAGAAGTCCCTGGCGGCCGGCGGGAGCGGCGCGGCACCGCGTACTCACCTGCAGAAGAAGTCCCTGGCGACCGGCGGAAGGGCCGCGGCGCCGCGCAGCAGCGAGCGCAGCACCGCGCCCGCGCACGCCACGTCGCCAGCCGCACGGCACCTGCGCCGCGCACCCACACTATACTAGCTGTTCCCCGCAACTTTGTGGAAGTGCAATTTTTTACGATTGGAAATTTTTTGTGCAGAACATTAATTACTTTTGTAAAATAAAAGTAGCATAAATTACTCCTCATAACATCAGATATCTACTAATGAAAGTACCGTTAAAAACAGCATATCAATTATATATATAATTGTTGTACTGTCGTCTGTCTTCGTTTTCAGGGGCGTTTCACAAACACCCGTATATAACAAAAATTTGATGAATGATAAAAAATAATGCCATTTATCGGAATTGTTCTGAACATATACTGTTACCTGTCGCTCGAGTCGTCGTCCTCTATCATTTCCGTAACCCGCAAATCAACACTGCCACCGACCAGTTTGACGGCGCCGCTGTCCTCCAAGTATATATTTTGTGCACGCACGTCCCCGTGCACGACGTCGGCGGCATGCAGTTCGGCCAGCGCAGAGAACAGTGCCAGTGCCACGTGGCGCACCAGCTGCAGCGCGTCGAAATCTCCGAGGAAGCGACGAGCCGTCGCCACGTAGCGGCTGAGCGACGTGCCCGCCACGAACTGGCGCACGGCGTACACGGTGGTGGCGCGCGCCGCGGCCCGCGTCGGCCAGTAGGCGCACGGCACGGTACGGCACGAGTGCGCTGACCCCCACCCCCACCCCCTCCCGCACCGCGCGCCCCGCGGCCGCTACGTCGCGCTGCACGGCCGCCAGACGGCGCTCGCGACGCGCCACGTCAGTGGCGCCGGGCAGCAGCCAGCGCCGCACTAGCACGGCGCCCCCACTCTCGTCCAGCCCCAGGTACGATGTGGCGTGCCGCGAGTGCCCTGCGCGTACCACTATGCAATCACCTCACAAGGTACACTGACTTCTATACTATTTTACTAACTGTTCCCTACGACTTACTTTTTACGCGGAACCCTAATTCTTTTTCTAAAATAAAAGTACCCTGAGTTACTCCTTATAAAGCGAACGATCTGTCAGTGAAAGTCCCGCCAAAATCGGTGTAACCATTTCGGAGATTAGCCGTAACAAATAAAAAGACAGACAATTTTTTTTTTTGTAAGTAACCGTTAAAAAGCTGTTATTTTGATATTACAACCAGACACTTTATTTATTTTAAAGATATGCATACTTCAACTAAATAGCGATTGCAACTGATAAAGATATATAACATGTGTACCCATTTCCCTAAGTCCCGAGTACCAAATTTTATTTTGTTGACGCAGGGTATAAATAAGCTCCTGAGTACGTCGTAGACGAAAACAGATGCCATAGTTAATTTTGAAAATTCCGCAAAGGAGATAAACCCAACAATAATAAAGCGAATTTTGCGATTCAAACGACCTTCAACGCTTTCGGAAGATATGGGTAAAAGAAATGATAAAAAATGCATCCACTTGGTTTTTTTAAAATTAAAAAAATATTATAAATTAATTTTTAATGTTACTTTATTGAGAAGAAAATTATAGGAAAAGTAATCTATCTCATTCTCTCGGAGGCTAAATTCTGTAGACATATGTTTGTCTCTTTTTAAACCCTAGCCCCGCCCAACTTTTGTCACAATGCCTTTTTAGCCAGAAACATTACCGGGCGTATGAACAACGACTCGTCAAAGTTTCATCGTAACGGTACAAGCAAGGAGCGGCACACACGAAGAAACATTGATTATACGCAGGGGTCACCCGAGGCAAGTGTGACAGTGGGGCAAGTGTAACAAATGCAAAATATGCGGCCTAAACACGGTTTTCGGTTTAATTCCATCTATTAAACAACACAGGAAATTTTACGCTGTTGACTAAACTGACAGTTAAGTACATAGCTTGAACTATTTTATCAACAGACGTTATTTTTTAAAACTACTCAACTGGCAACAGACAGCGCAATTTCAAGAGGTGAAGTTATTAAGTGTTTCGATATCTCGTTAAGTTAATACAAGGTAAGTGGTAAAGAATAATATTTGTACTTATAGAGTAATATGTTCCTGCGACCTGAAATTCACAATTCTTTGAAATACGGATACAGTTACACTTACCTCATCTAATACGAGTACCTAAAATAGAGGTAAGTGTGACAGTGTCACGTTTATTATGATTATATTATTATAAATTGTTCACATTCTGAATTAAATTTTATTTTGCACTTGGCATTGCTTTTATTATAGTTACAAAACATCAGAGCTATTGTAGTAAATCTATTTAAAGGCACACCACTATATCGATTACTGCCTCGTTGGTCTAGTGATTGTAGTAGTGCGACTGCTGATCATGAGGTCTGAGTTCGAATCCCGGGTCGGGCCAAAAAAATTAATTATTGAGTTTTTCCGTCAAGAAATTCTCAGTAGTTGCCCGGAGTCAGGAAGTTGGGGGTGTCTCATCCTCGTGCCTCGGAAAGCACGTAAAGCCGTTGGTTCTGCGACTGATCTATCTTCGGTCGTGTCGGTTTACCGTCCCATCTGATTACGAGAGTGAGGGAATAGAGAGTGCACCTGTGCTTGCGCATACACTTGGGCACTGTAATCCTGTCCTGCGCCGATGGCTAGCCTCCAATGAGGCAGGCCGCCGTGGCCGGAATTTAGTCTGGAAGACATTATTATTATATCCATTAAAAACAGTCACACTTGCCCCATGTTGGGAAAAAATCATTATTACGCAAAAATGGACGCTCAAATCGTTTCCATAGATCATTAAATATATCGACGTTAGTATCATCTCATCAATTTTGTTGAAAACCACAGATAATAATAAAGTAACTAAAAAGAAGTGTACTGTCACACTTGTCCCATTGATGTGTAAGTGTGGCAGTCTTTCACCTCAATTAGTTTTAATTACCTCAAATTACAAAATGCTACTTGTAGGTACTAAAATGCTTGATCAAACATACAACCACTTAATAATTGATGTTATGAAACAAAATTCTCTGTATTAAACCTTTACATCTCTGTGTATTTAAATTTCGATCATAGTTTTAATCAATTTATGTCACACTTGCCCAGGTGACCTTATATGAATATTATTATAATTTTAAAACAATTGAAACAAAAATAATATGTTATATAATTTTAAGCCGCAAGTTATGTGTAATCATTATCCAGCTAAAGGGATAAATGATCATAAATAAATAATGCTGAATAATTTTTTTGTACCAACATACTCATCAGTATCAAGGGGTTCGTTCAAAATCTCGCTTAAAAGATGATAATAATTTGAAAGTAATTCCAATACTCACCGAGACAGTTGCCGAGGTAGATCTTCTTGTTAGTGGCTGGCGAGTAGCGCAGCGTACGCAGCGCCCGCGTCCCGCACGTGCACCCCTCTCCCGCACTCCTCGCGTCTCCTTCACTAACTGCACCCACCTCCTCCCCCACCTCTCCAGCACCCTCCAACCCGCCAGCGTCCCCCGCGCCCACCCACGCGTCGCCACGAGTCTCCGCGTAGCTGTCGTATAACATTTTACCAAATACATATACACACACTCACGCCACACCATATCACCCAAAGGGATAGACATAGACTACAGACTTCCATTCGGCACGATCCTGACACCTCTCTCACCTCCTCCACATCCATATACCTACGCATACATGCTCGTCGGTTAAGGATACTCATAATTTGGCACGTTTTCAATATATCGCCAATTTGGTCAATAAACTTTCGCTTTGGACGTCCCTTTCCCGAATCTGCAGTTCACTTCTGCAACAAAAAATTTGCTTTATCACTATTTCTTCATTCATTCTTTTCACATGACCAAACCACCGAAGCATTCCTTTCTTAATCGTGGTCATAACATCATCTTGCAAACCACACTCTTCCTCTAATCACTCAATTTCTCACCCTGTCACTCAGATTCAACCCTAACATACTCCTTAACGACCGCATTTCTACTGCATTTATTTTACTCTCTTGCTTCTTCTGCCACACCCAACTTTCACTACCATACGTTAAAGTAGACTAACACAGCATTTTGAATTGCCAAACATGCCTTTTTTTACACATTCTGACTTTCAATTTTCTAACTACAATAGAGTGTAGGGCGCCATTTACTCCATTTCCTGCGTTCACTCGTCTTTCTATATCCTTATCATATCTCCCATCCTTGCTAACACACCCCAAATAAACAAACTCATCTACTTGCTCGATCAACTCCCCTTCTGTTCTTATTTCACATATCGTTTTTCTTTCTTCTCTTTCAGAAACCACAACTTTCGTCTTACTTGCGTTCACATTTATATCTCTTTATTTTAATGATCTGTTCATTAATGTAACAATCATTTGCAACTCGGCCGCCGACGACGCAAAAATAACTTGATCATCGGCCTATAAAAGGCATTTGACGGTTACCTCACCCATTCTTAATCCGCATTCTTCAACTTTAAAATGTTTGTAACAACTGTCCATAAATAGGTTAAAAAGCCACGGGGAAGTCACACAGCCCTGTCTGACACCTTCATGTGATGGATGTCCAACCAGTCCGAGTAGATCCCGTTGATCCTAACACAAGCACTAGAGCCCTTAATTAAAGAGACTTCAATGTCTGTATCAACCCAGCGTTAAACCAAAATGAGTTCAGTGTTAACACATAACATAACACATCCCTGTCCACTCTGTCATAAGCCTTTTAAAAGTCCATGAACGCACAAAAAACTTTTTGGCTTTTGGATACATACCATTTTGTTAGTGAGATAAAAGACCTACATCTCGCTGACAATGAAACTATGGTCAGTTTTGATGTTCAGTCACTATTCACATGCCTACCTATTGAAGACTGCATATCAATTGTAACTAGGAAGCTAGAAGATAATAACATGCCTGCTGAATATGCAGTATTACTCAAACACTGCCTCACATCTGGCTATCTATTGTGGAAGGAAGAGTTCTACAAGCAAGTAGATGGTGTGGCGATGGGCTCACCTGTATCTCCAATAGTCGCCGACATATTCATGGAGGACTTCGAGGAGAAAGCCCTTCTTACTGCTCCTGTAAATCCAAGATTCTACAAGCGGTACGTAGACGACACTTTCACAATTTTACCATCTGACAAAGTAACTGCATTTTTAAACCACCTTAATTCTATAAACTGTAAAATACAATTCACAATGGAGTTAGAGGCAAATAATTCTTTAGCTTTCTTAGATGTTTTAGTCATTCGAAATCCTAATAACACAATTGGTCACACTGTGTATAGGAAAAAGACTCATACCAACCGATATTTAAATGGTGAATCTCACCATCATCCTTCACAGTTAGGTACCGTGGGTAAATCTTTGTTTCAGAGAGCACGAGGGATCTGTGACAGAAAACATCTGGCCGCCGAACTTCAGCATGTCAAGCAAGTATTGCAAGACAACAAGCTTGGGGTCCCGCGCCTACGTCACAGTGACCGAGTGAAACCGGCTACAGTCGAGCGTGTACCTGCTGTACTACCATATGTCAGAGGAATCACAGACAAAGTTGGCTACATCTTGAAGCGAGCATCCATTAAAACATACTACAAGCTGCCGAAGAAGATTAGTCAATTTTTACCATCCGTCAAGTGTAATATCCCTCTACAAGATGCAGGAGTTTACAAGTTAGATTGTAAATGTGGTCTCTCTTACATAGGTCAAACAAGCTGACGTGAAGCACCGACGCTCCGGGAAGTCTGCAGTCTGTGAACATGTTCAAGATCGTCCCCACCATTACATCAGATTTGATAAACCACAAGTCCTCGCAAAAGAACACCGATTCCTACCAAGGATGATACGCGAGGCTAGTGAAATTAAAAAATATCCTAATTTCAATAGAGAAGATGATTGGGTGCTGCCATCTGCTTGGGATCCTATAATTAACAAAATTAAACACATACCCAAGCATACCAGTGCAAGACTTCAAGATACTGTAAGTTCGTTTTGCGTAAATCGGACCAAAAATTAATATTCAAAAACTGAAGGTAGCCGGGCTAACAATGACATTGGGACGTCAAACATCTCAGTCAAACCCCCCCCCCCCGTAACCATGGTTACTGTAAAACACCCGAAACGTCGGGAATTAAAAATAAGTAAAAGTAGTGAAATAAACGCGATAAAATCCGTAAACTTAGTTTTATTCAATGTGTACACCCCATTTCCTTTCTAAATCCGCTTTCACATCCCAAATTTTTCCATCAGTTTCTATCATGACCCATTCAATTAGTACCTTAGCATACAGTTTTCCTACAATGCTAAGAAGGCCGATACCACGGTAGTTTTTACAATCCTGCTGCGACCCTTTTCCTTTTATATTTTGGGACTATCACGGCTTTGCACCAGTGCAACGGTACCCACTTCAGTTCCCGGCATAAATTAAAGATGTGCAGCAGGCCTGCCACCACTTCCTCTCCAGCCCTTAGCTTTCCGAGTGAAACTCTATCGTATCCGGCTGCCTTACCTGCTTTCATTGTTTTCATTATTTCATCTATACTTATATCCTTATCTCTTTCCTCTTCTTTAGGAGTTTCTATTTCATTTATTACATACGTCGTCTCCTCACTCATAAACACGCTTTCAAAATATTCCTTCCAACTCTTTAAACCAAAACTTCATCATTCAGAATATAGCCATTCTTGTTTCTTATAGCATCCATTACAGGTTGTTTTGAATGTCCCCTAGCAGTTGTTACGAGTTTCCAGAATATTTTAATAGTAGTGTAGTAGTAGGAAGTTATCACATATTATTAATATACTATCATTTTTATCCGTTCTTTCTTGCTTTTTCCTTTCAACTACTTCTTTTACTCTTATTTAGATGCCTAAAGAATGCCCTTTTTCTTTCAATATCATCATTCGTACCGCCAGAATTACCAGCCTATGTTGCTAGTAGAAAGAAAGAAAGAAAGATTTATTGCAGCACGCCACACACATCAGTAGGCACTTAAATTTTAACATTTGTGGACACATCAATTATAAACATTATAACAAACAAAAACAAAAATAGGAAACAAAACAACAATTTGACGGATAAAACAATTTAGAAGTATGTATACTTATAGACTATAATTTAAAAAAAATAGAAAGACAAAAAAATCGTTTCTCATATTGTACGAGTGTGTTGTGGCGCGCGCGTCATACAAACGGACCTCACTCAGCTTATGCTGTCGCCACAGTAACAGCGCTGGTTTTTAGTGGGCCCGAACGGATAGTAACGTACGGACGTCCGCGCGTGACACATAATAATATTTTAAAACCAATCTGTCTAACTATGCTGAAATTATTGATTTCAAACCGAAGGTATGTACATGTGCTTATTATACATGCACTTTATTTTTATTTTCAAAAAATTTTGTGTTACCAGTGTGTTCTTAACTTTATTAACTAATATGTTATATTATTTCAAAAAGTTATTATTACGTTGTATTCGTTTTCTTATATTAATATATGTATATTTTTAACACTTATTTCCAAAACTTATACAAAAATTACCTCAGTTATTAATTAACGACACTAAAATTACACTTTTTTTAGCCTGCAGTCAGTGGACCTATGAACAGTATCCAATTTAAGGTTATATTATCATCACTTCACTTTATTCGTTGCGACCTTGACCGCCTGTGCTATGTGGCAGTCCCCATTTAGTAAGTCTAGCCATGCTCTCTTCTTTGCTTCAAATTCCAGACATACCTCATTATCCCACAATAACGTGTTATTTTTCCTTTCATTCGTTCTCTTACTAACACCACATACTTCGGTAGCTGCATCTTCATATTGCCATACATTCTACATGACTAATTCATTCATACATAATTCATCCAAACCAATTATGATTTCTTTCATTCTACATTTGTTCTTGTTTTTCTCACATTCATCTTGTAACCTTTCTGTTCTAATACGCTGTAACGCAGTGGTAGACATAGATGTCCGATGGCTCCAACTTTTGAATTGACCATTAATTCGGCATAAATCCAAATAATGATCCGTTCCTATGTTTGATCCCCGGTAAACCCTTGTGTCTACAGTGGCGAAGCCTCTATACAAGCTCAAAAGCCCGGCTTGCCACATTAATACCCGTATTTATAAAGAAGTAATTACTTGTTGCCAAGTAATTTCTTAGTTAAGTTATTACTTAAGGTTAGAATTCTTAATTACAAAATCTCATTCTATAGTTGAGTAACACACGTTACTTACTTGAGCAAATGCCCTAGTAACACTGTACGCTTGGTGGTTGTTTCTGTTTTCAGAAACATAGTTCTTCATTATTATGAACGATGTTTTGGCTTACTGTCAAATGTTTTGAAATAACCAATAAGTCTAGGGCATAAAATTCCGTATGTTAATACTTACGAACGACGATTAACACGATTTTTATGACGCCGAAAATAAATATTCGTAAAAAATGTCGAAGTTAGATAAAGTCTAAACTTTTAAAGTAAGAAGGTTCATTTAGCAGAAATAACATAATCCCGAAAAAAAGAGTAACATATATTCA